TATAACTGACTGACAAAAATTGATGTTCTTAATATCATCGATGGATTTAATTTTTCAATTTGAAAGACACGAAGCAGCTGAACTGGACATATAAAATATTCAGCATGGTTGGAGATAATGAGACATTTGTGCACGAGTATATTCTCCTGGGCTTCACAAGCCAAGCAGAGCTGCAGGTGATGTGTTTTTTGTCTTGTTCCTTGCCATCTCGTAGGAAATCTGGGAGGAATGACATGAATCCAGATCGATCTGCACCTCCACAACCCCCCTGTACTTCTTCCTGAGCCACTTGTCCCTCCTGGACACCTCTTCTACCATCATCCCTCAAATCCTCCTGGGTTTCTCAGTGGAGAAGAAAGCGATTTCTTTCGTTGGATATGTCACTCCGCTCTTCTTCTTCACCACCATGGCCTACGACTGCCACGTTCCTGCATCCCCCTGCTCTATGCCATGGCCATGTTCTGGAGGTTTTCTGTTGGGATGGTGGCTGGTGCTATCAGCTCCACCACACAGACACACAGAGTTTCCATATTCCGTGCCCCGTTCTGCTGCTCCAAGGTGATCCATCACTTCTCCTGTGATGGGCTGCTGCTGCTCACCCTCTCCTGCTCCAGCACCTGCACCATCCAGGCCGTGGTTGCTGCCATGGTGGGGTTCAAACATGCTGAGCACTGTGGCCTTTGTCCTGCTGTCCTACTCATCTGTCCTCTCGCTTTCCCATGGCTCTGCCCTGCAGCTGGTCAGCACAAAGCCTCCTCCCCCTGGGAGGGAAGGCTGTTCTACAGAGCACACTGTTCTTGGTTTCCCATTTGCTTCCTATTAAATGATACCATGGAAATAATTTTGTACTGAAAGGGGAGAGGAGCTGTTTGTGGGAGTTCAGATGTCCATGATAAATCTTTATGCTTTTTCAGTTGCTGAGTTCCTAAACTTTCTTACAGTGGTACAGGCAAAAACTCCACGGCACCCCTGATGGAGACCCTCAGAGACCTTATAAGAGTTTGTGTGAATGGTAACAGGTGTTGGGGAATGTCCTGAATACAAAACAGGAATGTAGCGAACAAAATGAACCCTCATGTAATGCTGAGCCCTCCCATCAGCTGCAGTGGAGACACCTCTGTGTGCACTGTGGGGGCTGATTGCCATGACATCCAGAGGGCTGGGATCATTGCAGGGTGTTGTAAGCAAGGAATGCCTGGCTTCTAAAACTCACCAGCTGAGCCTTAGAGGCTCCTTTGCCGAGCTGTTTTCAGGCAGACAAATGGGCCCCCAGCAGGGACTCTGTGCCTGCTCTCCCGTGGTTCTGAGGGATCTCTGGGCCTTCACGCCGGCACCGAGATGTTCTCGGGAAGGCCCTCAGATCCCCGGAGCACTCTGGGACACAGGCATGATACCCCTGCATTTTGGGAGCAGATTGGGCCCCCTGGAGGGACAGTGCTATTAGTGACCCTGGGCTCGGGCACCCTGAGGACTCGAGTGTGCACTGAAAAGATTCTTCGAGGAGCTCCTCTGGGTGCCCGAAACTGGGGAGCTCAAAGCAAGGTCCCTGGAATGAATTCAGGCATTCCTGAGAGTATCAGAGCTGGCCCTGGAGCTCTAAAATGGACTGTAAGTGGGTTATAAAAGTGGTGCTCCAACTGCAAAAGAAGTGTGGGATTGGGATTAAGGAATGAGCAGTGATGGTACCATTGGCTGTTTTCTCTCGACAGGAATTGTGAGAGCTGCAGGAGTGCAAGGTGTGGGTTCCAGTCCCCCACCATTTGGTTTGCACATGTCCTGGTCAGACACAGGTCCAACTTCCTCAATCCTGAACACAACAGAAGGAGAATTAAGGGATGGCCCTGTGAAGGTGATTGGTGTGACAGGGGTTAAACTGGGAAAACCTTGGGTAATTCCTCAGTTTCTCTCTTTGCCAAACAAACTCACCCAAACCTCTTCTAGGAAGAGATTGATTGGAAAAGTTGAGGCAGAAATTAAATAGAAAAATGGGAGATTGAAATTGTAATTCCTGAAACTAAATGTGTGAGAACAGCAGCTCTTCTTGTGCAGGAAATAACTCCTGTCAGCAGCACCATCCCGACTGAAGTGGCAGATGGAGTTGTTCCTGTCATGTGGGCCAGCGGAATTCCAGGAGAATGGACAAGGGCAGAACCTGTAAGAATTATCCCTAAGCCAGAGTCTGTACCGGTAAGGCAAACACAGTATCCTTTAAAATTAGGAGGCCAAGTTGGATTGGTTCCTGTAACAGCCAAGTTTGGTAATCACGGTTTGAGAGTAGATTGTGAATGCAAGAACCTGTAAAGAAAGGAAATGGGAAAGATAATTGATTTCTGGGAGCAGGGGCTGACAGACACTGGCACTGGATGTTTGGCTGTGGTTGGGAATGAGCAGCTTGACCTTCTCAGGGTCTGTGCTGGGTGTGGGTTTGGGTCCTGTCTGGCCACAGGTCTGTGCAGCAGCTGGAGCCTGGGCAGGTTTGGGGGCTGTGGTGTCCCAGCCTCTGAAGTTTGTTGTCACTGTTTCCTTTCAGTGGCAAAGTGTCCCTGCTTGGCTGTTTGTTG